AATTTTGTGGTTATGTAAGCAAATGTTACTGAATTTGGAAAATACACATTGCACAATTTAGGCACAAGGGGCATCATACTTAAAAGGTACACTCAAATATTTCAGGAAATAAAATATGTGTATATAGGAAGAAAGAAATAATAAAGAAAACAGTAGTTTAACAAATGTTAATATTAGAAATATCCAGATGAAAGAGCAAAGGAAATTCTTTGTACTGTATGCTAATTTTAAGCCTGAAATTATATCAGAAGACTCAAGAATCAAATGATTATGTATATGAAAGTAATTTTTAAACTATATGACATTATATGAGTACTTCAAATAGATCATTAGACAAATGTGTCTTTATTAAATTAATTGGTCACACACCCACACAACTGCAGAATGGGGTAAACTACAAATTTCAAGTGTCAGTTAGGGAAGGTGGGTAGAGGGAGGGTGATTGGTGGGATCACGCCTATGGTTCATCCTATAAGGGTACATGTAAATCTCTCTAAAAACACAATAACTAAGAAAAAGACATGAAGGCTATGATAACCAGTTGGACGAAAGTATTTCAAATTGTATATAGAAACAGTACACTGTACCCCATGATAATATTAATGTACACTGCTATGATTTAATTTAAAAAAAGAAAAGAAAAGAAAAAGAAAAGGAAAAAAAAGTGTCAGTTATTCTTAAACCATGGGCCCTAACTCTGAACACCTTCTCCACTAAAACACAAAAAAGAGGCTGGGCATGCTGGTGCAGCATCTATAGTCACAGCCTCTAGGAAGGCTGAGGCAGGAGAATAGCCTGAGTCTAGGAGTTCTAGGCTACATAGTGTGCTATACTGATTGGGTGCCCACACCAAGTTCAGCATCAATATGGTGACCTTCCTGGAACTGAGGACCAACAGGTTGCCTAAGAAGTGGTGAGCTGGCCCAGGTCACAAACTCCAGCACCAATCAGTAGTGAGATCATGCCTATGAATAGCTGATGCACTCCTGATGCACTCCTGAGCAAAAGAGCAAAATATCCATCTCTTAAAAAAAAAAAAAAAAGAGGCTATGCACAGTAGTTCACACCTGTTATCCTAGCACTCTAGGAGACCAAGGTGGGTAATATTGCTTAAGCTTAGGAGTTTGAGACCAACCTGACCAAGAGTGAGACCCCATCTCTACTAAAAATAGAAAAACTATAGCCAGGTATTGTGGCAGGTGCCTATAGTCCCAGCTACTCCAAAACTGAGTTTAAGAGGATAGCTTAAGTGCAAGAGATTGAGGTTGCTATGAGCTATGATGCCATGGTACTCTACCCAGGGCAAGAGAGTGAGACTGTCTCAAAAACAAACAAACAAACAAACAAACAAACAAAAAAGCAAATCATAATGAAACATTAGAACTCCTATACCTTAACACTGAATCATGGCTACCTTCCCCCGTCAATACAAATACATAAAAAGCATAGCGTTTTTAAGACTAATGATGTACCATATGGGTAAAAGTTGTATCACTGCTTCATGCTACACATTCCAGAAGGACTAAAAAAAGGTTAAAATAAATAAAAACTAAAATCCTTGAAAAAAAGAGAATTATAAGCAAGACAGGGAAAGCTCTTTCTCAGCATGACACCAAAACTCAAATCAACATCTAAATAGCAAGCAGTTATCATAAGCAAGGTCAAATCAAATTGATGCTATTTTTTCTCACTTTAAGATAGTAACAGATGGTTCATTTTTTTGTGAAGGGAGCTTCTAGGGTGGCCCTCAATGACACCTGCCTCAGAGTATTCACATTTACGTGTAGTCACCTCACCCTCCCGATACTGGGTTATAGTAAGACTGTGGCATCTATCCTGGGCTTGCTCACTATTTCTCCTTTGGATCACTTGCCGTGGGGGAAAGCTAGATGCCAAGACACGAGAAAGCATGGCAAAGAAATCAAAGTGCCAGTACACCACACGAGTAAATTTGGAGGCAGGTTATTTTCCCCACTCCAGCTAAACCTTTAGATGAGACTGCAGTCTCTTGATTATATACTGTCCTCTGAGATATCCTGGGCCAGAGGTTCCCAGCCTGGATTCCTGCCCCATGGAAGCACTGAGATAATAAAATGTTCATTGTTTACAACATTAAGTGTTCTGGGTAATGTGTACCATTAGTACTATGAGATTGATAATGTTATTTGGATAAGGAAACCAATGTGTTATGCGGCAATATACAGCTAATACAATCCTTAACAAATGAGTGAGGAAGACATCCTAAAAAGGATAAAAAGAGTCACAGTATGTGAAATGATGTTGTAAATTAAAATAATTTTTCACTTACAGAATTGAATGTACAAATATTCTCAATATCTATAGACTATACAGGAAATAAATATTATGCATACTCACTATGCACTTAAATTGATAAAATCTATCTGGAAGGCAGCTTGTATCAAGATTTAAATGCTCTCCAAAAATCCTGACAAAGTATATACATGCACTGTTTGATAAAGAAAACACCCTCAATAGCTAACGATCAAATAATGACTCAAATTTACACCATAAAATATAGTGCAACCATTAAAGGATGAAATAAAATTGATCTCCCTTTTTTTTTTGAAGGGGGACAGAGAGGGTGTGGTTTAATACTGTGACTAAAGAAGTCTGATGCAGTGAGAATGTGATACTATGATACTGAGTGAGGATTAATATTGTGAGAGATAAAGAAGGGGGAAAGGTTTAACATAGTGATGATAAAATGTAGTAGGGCAGACTGTCAAGTCAGACTGTTTAGAGTCAAATCCTTACCCATCCAGCCACTTATTGTATGACCCTGGATAAGTTAATTTGAATTTCTTTATACACAGGTTTTCTTATCCAAATAGTAACAGTATCAATCTCACAGTATTAATGATAAAAATTATGTAAAACTATTCACATAAAAAAATACATATAATAAACATTGGGTAAGTATTTGCTATTATCATTAACTACTAATCCAAAAAAGTTGAATGTGTGGGTATTCGAGAGACAAATATAATGACAATGAAGACACTGTTATGAATAAAATATGGAATTTCCTAGTTTATGAACAATAAAGGTTCAAGGAATTTAAAATAGCAAAACTCCCATTTCACAGAGGGAGAATTTGACTTGAGTCTTTATATATGCAAATAATTTAGATAGGTGAAGAATGGAAATAACAGAAAGGAAGCAGAATAAAAGCAGAAGTCGTAAAAAAAGAACATATTTCAACAACAGTGATGTAGAAAGTTTGTAAAGCTGAATATGTGGAAAACAGGGACAACTATGGCAATTTCTAAGTATCCAGGTAAACCAGAAAGATTTTATTTTCTAGGTAAGTAAGCACCACAGAAGGGTTGTGTGCAAAAGGAGCACAACAAAGCAGAACTGGGATTATTCTAATGTTAGCATACAGAAAAAACTGAAAGGGAGAAGACCAAGAAGTAGAGGCTTACTAGTGATTAAGCTGAACAATGACAGGACCTGACTAGAAAAGTTGTGATAAGAGTGATGAGAAAGAGGAAGAAAGAATCTATCAGCAAGGCAGTGAGAAGGAAAAAGAAAAATCAACCAAGTTTGACAATGACTGGTGAGAGAATGAAATACAAAAGACCCTCTGTAAGTTGACCACCCAAGGAACTGTAACAAACTAGACAACAAATGAAGGTAGTCAACACAAGGAAGTAGGTCTAACGTACCAATACATACATGTAGTGTATGCCTAGTCTATGAAAATTAGGTCAATTTAAGGAGTTGGTCTGTGTAGGAAGGTGGTCAACTATGGAAGTTCTATGTATGAATGACAGAGTGAATGATAAAACCATGAGAAGGAAAAAGCAAATCTGAAGGTCTGGAAACCAAAAGGAAGGATTTCCATTGGGTCCTGAAAGTTAAGTCAGGGTTAGATAAGATGCTTAGCCAATTTGAGATAACAATGCAACATTCAGATATTAAGATCCAGTGGGCATTTGGCAACATAAGACTAGTACTTAGGGAAGTGGTGAGAATTCAAAACAAAAACTAAAGAATTTTTTTTCTTTTTTTACAAAAAAAGCTTTTCTAGATGATTTAGAGCAGATAGACACTGGACTATGTGCTATTCCAAAGCTGCAATCATCTTTTATATTTCCTAGTGGTTAGCATTGGTCTTAACACATAAGAGGCTTTCAGGAAAATGTTAGTAGAGGTGGACAGAGAAGGGAGCAAGACTACATAGCTTGTTAATGACTAAGCTTTTATTGCAACCCAATTTTCCTGATTCTTTCCAGTATACCACAACATAGAGAGGACATCTGAGCTTCCATGTGTAGGATCCCCTAATGGAAAGGTGCAAGAAGTGAAAATAAATGACAAGAATTGAACTTTGGGATTGTTGGTTTCTAGACTCAGAAGGAAAAGAAATAAGGAAAAATAGAAAAGGAAAGTAATAGTTATGGGGGAAAAGGGATAGTGTTGTGCCATGGAGTAAAGGAAATTTTTCAAGAAAGAAAGCTTAATCAACTATCAAATGTTCATATGCTATGGACAGTGCTTCCCTGGTCTCCTATACCAATGAGGCACAAGACCAAATGAAATCACTTTTTTTAAAGTATAAATTAAGAAATTTTAATTTACTTTTCACAGGATTTTAAATACATGTCATTCAAAGTAGTGGTTACAAAAGTAATATTGCAATCTTCAGTAAATTTTACCTCTATAAAAACCTAGCTAGAAATAATTAAAGTCACTATAGTAGTTGGGCTAAACAAAAATTGGGACAATAGATGAAATCTGAAGCACAAAGAAGCAACTGAAAAAATAATCATTTACTGGACATATATTACAACAGCAACAAATACAGTAGAACTTCTGTAAGTAAATCACGCAAAGTGTCTGAAACAAACTGTCAATACACAGAAGTGGTCAACGTAAGAAACTACACATGTTCAGTCTATGAAAATTAGCTCAACTTGAAGAGGTCAATGTAAGGAGGTGGTCAACTGTATATGAAACACCAGAGGTCTTCTTACCTTAAATCTTTTGTCCTGCAATACTTTCTTGATGGCAACCAGTTCTCCTGAATCACAAAGTTTGGCTTGATATACCACACCAAATGACCCATTTCCAATCACTTTAGTATCTGTATAGCTGACTTCTTGTGGCCTGTCTGGACCCTGCCCAGGAGTTGCCACCACTGTGGTCACCTTGCTGCCATCCTTGTCTCCTAAAGAAAGAAAGGAATTTTTTAAAAAGCTACTGTAAAAAAATAAATCAAGAAAATTGCCAAAATATACAAAGTAAGCAATATTTTTCACTACAAATTATTTTTAAATGCTCATCTTAGGGGCAGCGCCTGCGGCTCAAAGGAGTAAGGCACCCACCCCATATGCCAGAGGTGGCAGGTTCAAACCCAGCCCTGACCAAAAAAAAAAAAAAAGTTCATCTTAGTTTATCACATAGAATTATCAGTTGTTTCACTTATAAGTAATTTTTTATTCTCCATTTATTCAGTCATTCTACATACCAGAGACCATGTTTAGTTTTCATATATGATTTCAGTTCATAAAACAATAACCCCATGAAGTGGACAGTACTGTTCCCATATTACGGGATAATGAGAACAATGTTAAATTTGCCCGTGGTCAAATAGCAAACAGTAAATCCATCAGTGTTTGACTTTCTCTGTTTAACTCTAACAGTTCTTTCCTCAAGGCCTTTTTTTTTTACATGAAATATATACAACTGAAATGTCTAATATTCCAATTTCATTCACACCACCCTGCCTTTGAGAAGGTAAACTTTTTCAGTGTTTGCATCCATGTAGCTTTTTCTTCTCAATAAGGTTGCAGAATCCCTCTTACAGTAAGGTCAGATGAAGAATGTTAATTTGATATTAAAAGATACAAAACTGTAAAGAAATAAACCCATTCTGAACTTAGCCCCATTTATAAGTAGCTCAGCGGCTCTGGGGTCTCTGTTCACTCATAGCCACCTCCTTTCCTTTCTGCCTTTGCTTATCCCTGGTAGTAAGTAATTCACAGCCTATCTTCAATTCAAGCTCAAGATCCACAGGCTACTTGACTAGGAATGGTCCACAATTACCACCTTTCCTCTGAATTCTTAAACTATTCCTGACTATATTATGCTACCTCACAGCTGATCTTAAGGAGTATTAAATTGCCCTTTAAAGTCCTCAGAATCTCATATTCTACAGATTAGAATCTTCCTGAAATAATTATGTCTTCTGCTTCTTCACTCTCCCTGACAAATTTAGAATCGATTCTCAGTATACTAAAAGGACTTAGGTTCACTGATTGTATTTTTTCCTCTGCTACTCTTCTATAATTATCAATTTTATTCTTAAAATGCTAATTGAATTCATACTAAATTAATTTTAAAAAGTAATATAATACATTATCTTCTAACCAAAAATAAATTGATAAATATACATCCAAATGGTAGCATAATATAACCAATATTTATATCCATTTAAATTCACAGAATTATCAATACAGACAAAAGTCAATAAATAAGATGGCCTCCATGACAGATTCAAAAGCAGATTCCTACCTAAGATTGGTACGTGAATTACAGGCAGTCATTACATATCATATCTTTATAGTCCCAAGGCAAAATACACAGACATGATTAAATAAGCACAAATCCAATAGTACTTGTAGAAAGAATTCAAATCTTGCCAACCATACCATTTTTATGACAGTATTACATACTCTCTAAGTGCATACAAACGCCAGCATACGTCTTACCCCTAGTAAAATCTTAAGATATATTTGCCAAAAACTTAGTTTAATCTAATCTGAGCTCTAAATTACCGTGCCTTGCCTGAAAAAATCTGTTAACCTTTACATAAATTAACAACTTTGCAGGTTGACTATAAACCCTACCATAAGTTCTTTTCTTCCTCATTTGCAAAATAACCTTTCTTTACTTTAGCAGTCCTCAAGACAGAATCAATCTTCTAAACTTAAAGGAACAGATCCAGAAAGGTTAGAATCAGAAAAAGAAAAGATTAAAATGCAACATAGTGAGCATATTCTTATAATCCAGTTGTCAATCACTTCAGACAAAAGGCTGAAGTGATTTCACAGTCTGACTCTTCCCTAGATCACACAAGTCAAAGCCATTGACACCAAGAAAATACTTCAAGCAACTTTCAATTAATAATTTCACCGAACAAGTTGCCTGTAAAATCTTACAGGTCTAATTCACAAAACAAAAGATCATCTTAATTAACATAAACTAAAAGATTTTAAGAATGGCTGCTGTACTCCACAATTTTAACTAAAGAAACTATCTGGGTACAATCGAAAATTATGCTTTTCTACTGCATAACCATATTTCAATAAGGAAAACAAAAGCCATGGCTTTATTTGCTGTGGTAAGAGAACTGAAGCAAGAAATAGCCACTTGTAATGACTTTCCCTACTTTCCTCCTCAAGTTGTACTTCTAAAAATGCCTTTGTATTTTAGGGGTTCAGGACCCAGGTATGAAAACTATTCACTACAACCCTGGGATTTAATACTTCTTCATTCACATTACTAAGCCTGGGAATGTCTATCTCAGCATCATGATTTACAAATGGGAAAAAACACAAATCAGATAACTCTGCTAAAATATTAAAAGCAGAGTAAAAAGACAAAACAGATCCTATAGATGGTATAACTAAAAGAGATTCTTAAGGCCTCTTAATTTTGAACTGAAATTTGATGTGAACAAGGACCATTTTTTCACCTTCTTGTACACAGAGGGGAAAGTACATACTATCATAGGAATGAAAAGAGTTACTATTTATTCTATTCTCTCTAAAGCAGAGAAACGACTGAGAACTAGTCACAGACTACACTAATATATGACATCTAGATATACTAGGAACAAAGGCTCTTAGGCTTTCTACAGACTTCAAGAATCCCAGAATTTTTATTGGGGAATCATCAATTTCTTCAGACTGCTCTACCAGAAATATGAAGTAATAGTGCTGAAAAGAATAGCTGGGTAATACCAGAGATAATCTGGCATGAAGATTAGTAGCTCCATGGAGCAGTCAGCAGTCAGTATGCCAAGGAAAAGCACATCACCATTTGGCATTATAATTAGTCAACTTAGCAATAAGATAAACAACCGTGTAAAATTTCACCACTTACAAAGATCTTTCCTATTCATTGTTTCATTTACTTTGATACTTACAATAAATGTAGGGAAATATCACTGTATCTAGTATGCAAACAAAGATAGCAAAACTGTGAGATTAATTTACAAAGCTTTAAGTAGCATAAGTCTTCATATGCCTCACACCATCTATGCTGGATTTTACAACCTTCCTACTACCACTCAAAGACTAACTTCATATGCTTTTCCTTACCACTCTCAAAGGTAATATTTCTGATAATATAATGTAAAACAACTAACTCAGGAGTAATAGGAAGTATGAGAATCAATGTACAATCCTTTTCAATTTTCAGGTCTCAACTATGTACTCCTTATTAATAGCAAGAGGTATTTCCAGAGATACTTTGGCAACATTGGGTTCTAAAATTTATCTTTGCAAAAGCATGTGAAAAATTAAAGTGTAAAAGCAATTGAATCTGTAACATCCAATTTTAATATCTGCTACTAGATACCAGATTATTTTGAATGATAGAAACAGAACAAATACAATTTCCAACAAACCAAAATATTCAAGAAAAACTAGAAATCAAAACAAATCTGCTTCAATAAAAAAAATGCCCAATACTAAATTCCCCAGAATACATGGAACAGTGATTCTCACACTAATTATATAGTACTAGTCACTGCGATAAAACTGCTCTTCAAAAATGCCACTGTCTTGCAGGTGCCAACAGCAAAATAGTGGAAATAGCTCAACTTCAGGCTCTCTCTCTGGTCAGAGGACTCTGTGGATCCTTTATACAACAAGAATCCGCTCACATGGTATGAATTTCCTATGTAATTAGAACACAGAATTAAAACTCCTACTGTCTGCCATAATAGATACATCTTAAATATATAAATCATAACAGACTCCTCATGAAGCAATGGAAAGATGGTCTGCAATAGAAAAACCACTTTCTATCAAAGGATATTAAATAAATACCAAGTACAACTTTTACAAAAGCCCTAGTAACATTAGGCATATCCCAAAATGACACATGTAACCTATTTCTCAATCTCTCGGACATAAGGCTATACCCGTAAGCAGCATCTTGTAGATATATTGCTTAAAGTCTTCTCCTTATTCCTTAGATCAAGCCACCTTAAGATGAACAAAGGTAAAAATGTGACATAGACTGCATCCAAAGTATGGAGTGAGGAGCCTAAAACCCAAGGGCCACTTCGAGGATGCTTAAATATTTAGGAGGTCTCGGGCACTGACACTCTAATTTTATATGAATGTTGAATGTCAAAGTTAAACATACTTTGTTCATTTGGTATTTATTCTCTTAAAGAGATAAATTCTTATAATCCAGAGATGAAAGATCAACAACTGAAACAATTTTGTAACTAAGGCTTTTAGAGAATATTAATAAACCATACCAGCAATATAAATTGAGCAAAGCCATGCCACAATCCCAGAAATACACTGATGACCTTGTTGTGAGAAGCTGAGTCTACAAATGGCTGCCTCTGGGAAGTCTGCCTTCACTCCAAGAATAAAGTCTCCACGTAGAAGTAACAAAGTTAAAACAAAATTCCGGAGAAACCTGCAAACCACCACCAGTAACTATGCAGAAGATAAAAAGCATTTCCAAGACATTTTCTACCCAACAATTGTGTAAGTATGAAAAACAGCACAAGTCTGGGCCCCTCAGTGTGCTAAGAGCTTTTAGGAAAATCAGACATTATCTGAATCATTTACATTTCCCTATTGGCACAAAGTTCAGCACATTACAAGTGCTCAGCAAATGCTTGCTATTGAATTTATATTAAGAATCATTCAAACAGAAGAATTTGTTAGGATTTGGGAACTAACTGCTTCATGCTAAACATAAATAGTGCTTTTGACTTCTTCCTATGCTTGACACTGGTCAGATACAAATCTCTAGGGATAAAGTACATGGAAAGGCCTTGATTAGTAGTAACACAGAATGGAGGAGGGCTTACTGAAAATGCAGGCAACAAGAAGCAAACAAAACAAATGACCCAATTTGCCCCAAGTCTATTTATGGATAGGAGAATTATTATGTTTCTTAACATTTTCCCAAATA